CCTGCTGCTGCTAGAAACGTTGTTAATGAGAGCAGTCAGACTGAACTAAAATGCTCTGCAGAGCTGACGGGAGCTAGCAGAAGCTACTGATAATCAAACTCATTTGATTCACTATTTATAGAAAATTATGAGTGCCATTTTAAATGTCTGAAATTACTAATATAGTTCTGAATTTGGATAGAGGAGGAAGGGAAGTGGAAGTAAATGTGCAGAGACAGAAAGCAGTATGCGATATTGCCTCTTTTATGGCATTTATCTGTAAGAGAGAAATCATTTAAAGTAGCAGCTTATTTTGCAAAAGTGCATCCTCTACCTTTCCTGGCTCACTCTTCCATGTTCCCAGTCCAAGGAGGGGCATCTTCCGCCCTGTGTTGAGAACTGCAAAGTCATTCATGTCTCTCAGAAGCACCTTAGAAAGGACAAGGAGAGCATGATTCAGTCAATGAGCGGAGCTGCTTGGCTTACTCGGATGTTTAAAGCTGCAGTAGCAAGAATCTTATGTAAAAATGCACCCCTCTTTTTACCATTATTAAACTATTTAGACTGCAACAGCGGAGATATTTATTTTTCACCAAATACATCACGAGGAAGATCCACATAAGCAGTTTGACAAGCTCAACTGGACTGACGAATGAAGTGAATAAATACAAGAAGGATGACTGTGCAAAGCCAGAGACATCCAGAATAAGCTTCATTGCTGTAGTAACACACAGTATGATTTTACCATGTAAAAGTTGGTCTGAAAAAAACAAGATCAATTCTTAAAGCAGAAACGACATTGCAGGTGGAAGAAATAGAACGATAACTAGAGAGTATGAAAGGCACACTAGATAACGAATAGAAGTACAGACAATTTACAGAAGCACAACAGAAAACCCAGCAAGAGACGAAGGCCATTGAGAGGTTCAGTATGAGTTCCAGCACTGTTGAGATCTATTCTACAATCATTCACATTGCTATATTACAGAAAAAAGTGTTTAAAACACTACCCCAGCATCAAAATGCAGTTTCAAAGAGGAGATTGTCCCAATCTAAGAAGTTTTATCCAAAGAAAGGCCAGGCAGTATATCAAGCTCACTTTCTTGTGAAGCAAACAACACAGAATGATCAGAATGAACAGCCATAAAGCCAACTTAACAGAAGCAGGGATTACAGTTGGCAAACGGTACCTTCCTAACCTTATTATGGAGAGTTATTCCTACACAAAGTGATAAAGCATTGGCCAAACACCAGACTTTCTCAATTTAATGATGAGTCATGTTTAAACTTTACAGCTAAAACTGGAGCGCTTGTATCAGGAGACGGCTGCATGAGACGCTAATGTAACAACATTAAACGATCTACATTTGGTGGAAATATGAAAGTGTGGTGAGATTTTGTCTATTCTGTTGTTCAAATTGAACAAAACCACAAACATTAACTCCAGGTCCATTCTGCTCTTGTGTACAGTTGTGTGAAAAAAAGGACTCCTCTTTTTGCAGAACAATGAGTCAGAACATTACAGGCCTGACCATCCACGGAAAAGGAGGATGTGCTGACTTGCATTTCCCTAAAAGGTCACCAAACTGAACTTGTTTTTAAGGCACAAAATGCTGTAACAACACCCTCTCTGACAGGCTCTAAACGGAGAGGGGTCGTTTCCTTTCCTTTAATTAAATAAAGGCAGATATCATTGCATATGGCAACAAAGAGAAAACACAAAGTTTTTTCATAATCCAGAACTATAAAGACTAAAACCCAAGTTGGTATTTTGTTGACTGTGCCAACACGACCACAGACATCTCTTCAGCACAATCAGAATGCTGCTGCTGCCAGTTCTAAGAACCGGAGAACTCTGCACATTACCCCCTGTTCTTCAATCTTTACACCGATAGTTAACAAATAACAAAATACATGCCTGACATGCTGGTTAGAATACTATAAGAGTCCAGAAGAGGTTAAAATATTAAGTTTTAAAAGCCTTTCAAAAATAAGCATAACGTTGTGACTCACTACATCCTCTTCAGTTACAATTCAACTTAAAACTCAATTAAAACAGTTCTGTTTTCTTGTGCCTTTAACTGATTCATGTCTCTGCTGCACTATTATTCACTTAACCCGGGCAGGGTCGGCTTCTTCCTCCAAATCTCTTTTAAAAACTTACTTTTACAGGAAAGCATATCCAGATTTTATCTGAGCTGCCGCTGGTTTTACTGTTCCTGCCCTATCCTTCTTATCACTTTGTTTCATCTTCCTTATGTCCTACTGAACATATTTGTTATACTCTATTGTGATCTTTGTTCTTATATTCTGTATTTTACCCCCCTGTATCTTGGTTGTTTGTTTTTGCATTTTATGTGTGATTTGTTGTGAAGCACTTTGTACTCTGTTTGATAAGTGCTATATAAATAAAGCTTATTATTATTATAACCCCATCTGGATTAACTTATTTCTACAGCACTGTATCTGCACTAAACCATTTTTTCCTTCTGTTATTTTTGCCTATTTACTTTCCTCTCAATTATGCAATGTTCTGATGCGCGTATGTGGAACAGAGGTCACGTTTATTTGTACAGCACTTACCTGATGTCAAAGTTCTAAATAAAATTAAAAAAACAGAGAATGCAGGGCGAAATTGAAATGTTGGCTTGTTATGAACCACAACCACAAGTGATGCGAAGCACCAATGGTTTTCCAAATCTTTCCAAAAATATCCCATGAAAACCCGTCCACGGGTTCGCATTCCCGTTTGCATTAATATGTAGCACACGTCAGCAAGCAATGGGTGATGCAACGTGTAGAAATTACGCTTCTAACTAATAACTAGTAAGACTCTTCATTAAGACAACGCGGATAGCAGGTCACTGTGTAGGTTCGCTTGTTGGCCACCCAGCCATCTGCAAACAAAACTGGCAAGTCACCGTCGGCTAGCTTTAGCTTCTCCTGAAAATAACTCTTACGCTTGACTTTACGTAACTCCCCGCTTTTCGGTGTTCAAGCTAAGCAATTTTTCCCAGTGAGCAACTTACCCGCTTGCCTGTGTCAAAGCATAAGCGACGGAACATCTGCTTTAGAACCTGACATTTAAATGACTGCATGTTCGGTTCCGCTCGGCTGTGAACTTACAGAATATTAGCGAATCAGCAGCGGCTCAACCGTCTGTTTACGTCACCAAACTTACTGTTTCAAGATTTTAAAACCTGCGTCTTCCAGCAATGACTTCTTCTAATCCTCCTCCTAAGCGGGACAAGGAAACACGAATGTTGTTTTCTCCCAAATGTTCAAAAACACCACTTCATTTTGATGATATTTCCCTTTCCGGGAGGATGATTCTGCTATTTCCGGTGATAATACTTGGCCCATCTGCGGTAACAATATCATTCGGTTTTGACTCCGTTCATGTTTTGTCTGAATCTGGTGTTACTGTTGGCTCTAATAAAGTTTATAAATGTATTTTTGAAGCAATGAGACATTTTAAAATAGGAAACTTCCGGCAGTTAATTTCACAATAGCTGAAATATTCTCTCCATACAATAAAGTCACATTTCAATATAAAACCCTACTTAGTTATAGGCAGGCAGGAATTGGAGAATTCTGTGCTGAAGATAAATTAAGTGTAATGTTTTGTAATATAATTATTGCTATAAATGTAAGCATGAGGTTTGAAATTTGGATGTGATGCCATTAGATCTGACTAAGTACATTTATAATTATAGGTTAAAAGGTTGGAGATGGTACTTTTAGGAGATGGTTAAGCTTAATAGGCGCTGTGTTCTTCTTTATCCTTTGGAATCATGCACTTATATTTTGAATTAGAAAATAGCCTGCTTTTCTTTGTGAAGCAATTTAATATCATACCATACAGTTAGCTAGACGGTGCTGTTAATGCCAATGACACTGACTGGGTCAGTGTAACTGCAGTTTTTTCATCATTTATTCACTAATATCAACATGAAATCGTCTCGTGATTTTACATTTAAACGTTAGGAAATTTTATCAGGATATAAAGGGGATTCCTTGGAAGTTGTTCTGAACCCTGTACATAAGCATTCTCTATGGGCGCTTCCCCACATCCACTGCTATCCATTCTAGTATCTCTGTACTCAATCCCCCCCTCCCATTCCTACTCCCCTGGGTTCTATTGCCATGTTTTGGCCTTTTTTTGTTCTCTGATGGAAGCGCCAGTAAGTTTCATATGTCCACACCAGGCTCCAGGGCGGGCTATTGCTTAATAATTTTTGTCTATGCTGAAAAAGTTTTCATATTGTCCTTGGAAGTTTTTTTATGTCTGAATTTGCCTAAGTTATCCAAGTTTTTGTTTAAGCTGTATAAACACAGACTCAGTGGAAAGACAATTTTGAACTTTCTAACATTTACTAATCTAAATTAAAAAAAACAAAGGATTAGTAAATGTGTAACCACAGACACATAAGCTAGATTTACATACATAACTGGAGAGTTGGAACTGCAGATAGAAAACCAGAAGTTTGTGTTTTTTATGGCTTTCTCAAGCGAGATTTGACTTGAAGATGTGGTGTCCGAACAATAATGCTGCAATGATGTGTTGAGAAGAAACCCGCTTGACACTGTTCTTGATCATAAAAGTTTATTACATCAAGGAGTTCAGCATCAATTACAAGCTCTGCAGCAGCTTGGAGAGTGACCCAGCCCGATAACCACTCTGTCTCTCTGTACATCAAACACAGCTTATATAGGACATGTTTAGGTATCTGCTAAATACCATTTAAGGGCACAGTGCTGTAGGATAAGTGTAAACATCTGTTAGACACCATAGAAGGGTTCAGTCCCTTCATAAACACTAATCACTACTCCCCCTAACACTAGGTCAGAGGTCAAATTCCATAGGAGGGTTCACTGAGCCTCTTTCCAGTAGCCAGGTAGCCTGAAATGTATATACAATTTGACGTTTTGATGGAAACAACCTTTAAAGGGAAGGAAAAAAAAAATTTAGGGCCACTCCTTACCGGGAGGGGGCAGACTGCAGGAAAAGCTGCACCGCAAATATGCAGGGAGAAAAGCCGAAACGGAAGTCAGACTGATCAACAACCTGAGTTACAACTCAGGCAAAACTTTACTGCAGTTACAACTGATAAACTTTCTTTAAGTTATTTTCCGATACAGATGCCGTAATAATATGTGGCACATTATGGGGGAAGCATTTTTCTGTTTCGGTGGAAGTTTTGTGCTCAAAGTCAGTGGCTAATTTAGCCATTTGGAGCAGCTTAGTTAGCTAACTTTTTGTCAGCTGACCCAGCAGTGTAATATGCCCAGGTATTACTGCGTGCTTAATATTAACAAGGTTGCCGGTGTAGCTGGATTGTCTGCTAGCTTTCGTTGACACGTCCTGCTGGGTTTTCTGTGGCGCTGAGAGAGCCCGGTTTGCAATGCTCCTGCAGCTGCTCCCACCTGTGAACTAGCTGGATCATCTCCTGCTGTCCCCCGTCCGCAGTTGTCCGATGGCTCACTGCGGCTCCTCCGAGTCCAGCTCAAAGGTTCAGGTACCTCGTCCGGACAGCGCCATGCCGTCGCAGGGTAGCGTAGACCAGAGCATGAAGCCGGTCCTGTTCGAGGTCTTCGGCGAAATATGGACCGTCCAGTCGCGACTCGGCCAGGGAGTCTCGGCCTCGGTGTACCGGGTCAGCTCAGGCAGAGCCACCACCGCCGCTGTCAAGGAGTTTCAGGCCGACACTCAGGGAGGAGACTACGGGTATCGCAAGGAGAGGTCCGTGCTGGAAGACATCCAGGGACATAAAAACATCGGTAACAACCTTATTTTCCTCAGCGGGGAAAACATGTAGATCCCTAACGTAAGGTAATAATGTTCTCAGGCTGCCTCCTGTATAAAGTCTGTCAGCAAAACCTGTTCTGACAAGGAACATTATGTAATGACTCACTATGAGCCTTTCTATAACAGATCGAAAAGCTTCATGACGGGGTCTATGATACTGGCTACTGTTTTCAAACCCTTATGTGTTTCTTGTGTCTATAAATAGAGCAAACAGCCAAATTCCACACAAAAATCGATCATTCTAATAGGAGCGTGCTTGTCATCAGTGGTATACACCTGCTAGAGTTTCTGTAAGAGCATTTACAAATAGACATGGTCTGCTTTTTTAATTCTGCTTAAGATGGCCCATGAAACAGGCTCTGCTTTCAGTGAAACGTGCTTTTCAGGCTTTAACATTTGTCACTGTGTCGTTCTGCAAAATAAGCGTGGCTGGCATTAGTTAGCTCTCTAAACCTATTGAAAAACGTTCAAATACTGAGACTATGATGATCATATTATAATGTCACTACTGTTATACTGAAGGTCATGGTTTTGTCTGCTAGGAAGGTCATATTGCCATTTTCTTAAACAGGATATAAATGCAGCTGCACATGTCTAGCCGTTTGCACTGACGGATTTGTTCTCCTCTCAGTGACGCTGTACGGGGTGTTCACCAACCACAGCTGTATGGGTGTTGCCACGCGCTGTCTTCTGCTCGAGCTCTTGGATGTCAGTGTGTCCGAGCTGTTGGTGAGAGGCAGCGGTGGTACCCAGGGTGGTAGGTAAGTGAAGTGATGTCGCTGCTTCTCATACGGTATAACTCTGACTGTGGCAGGTTGCAGAGAGGTGTTTCTGTTCTTTGGCCTACCCTCACTGATAAATATGGGATGGACAAAAAAATTGAAACACCTGTGAGTCCAACAGAGCACCCCCCGAACTGCAGCCTCCAAAATGATCACACAAGCTGAATCAGCACCTCTCTAAAATTATAACCTTCACAAAGGAAGGTTCCAGTCATTGACATCTGCTTGTCACATGCTAAGAATGGAATATTCTGCTTTTTGTGGATGCTAATTCACATTATAGATAGTACCACTGACTATCCGTGCAACAATTTAGCATTTCAGCCATCCACGGTCCAGCCAGATGCTAGGTTTTGACCTTGTCTTGTTTTAATTCGGGTGAATTGACCCTTTAAACTTGACCAGGCTTTCAAAAATTCCAAGCATTTGGTATTTGCCCCAGAATGTTCGTCTGTCAGTGTAATATAATGTAATATAATGAATGATGGTGACTGCAGTCACTGTAAAGCCTTCATATGTTTAGCAGAGTTTGAACTTTTCTGTTTAACTTCATAGTGTGATTTGTTTTGGCAGACCCCAGCAGGGCCACTCCATGTGGCTTGTCCAACACTGTGCCAGAGACATCCTGGAGGCTCTCGCCTTCCTTCATAGAGAAGGCTACGTCCATGCTGACCTCAAGCCACGTAACATTCTCTGGAGCGCTGATGACGAGTGCTTCAAGCTCATCGACTTCGGCCTCAGCTTCAAAGAGGGAAACCAGGTGGGTGTGTGTGGGAATTTTGAAGGTCAGTAAAAGAGGAGCTGGGATAATTATGTATTGTATTCCTAACTCTTCTTGCATTGCCTCCTCCCAGGATGTCAAGTACATCCAGACAGACGGGTATCGCGCTCCAGAGGCTGAGTTTCAGAACAGCCTCGCTCAGGCTGGGGTGGAGGTGGAGGGAGACTCGGGCTGCACTGCCGCCGTGGACCTGTGGAGCCTGGGCATCATCCTGTTGGAGATGTTCTCAGGAATCAAACTTAAAGACACCGTCCGATCACAGGAGTGGAAGGTATGACAAATCTCTACTCGGGGTAGAGTTAGCTGATATTGATTTAATGGAATCTGAAGGTCTCAAAATGTGTAAATGCACAGAAAAGTTTCATTTTTGACTGGGGACTGAGCAAGATGTTTAGAAATGTTCAGAAGCTGGTGATTAAAGGAAGAATAGACAATACAATTAGGGGACTTCTGTCAGTAAACATGATTGATTGCTGAATTCAAAATCTTGCAGGTGAAATGTTTGCAGGTTTAAGAAGGTAATTAAATTTAAAGTAAGAGGAAATATGTCTGTAACAGGACTTAATATGTTTGTATTAGCGCAGAACCCTTCTAGCAAAAGGAAACAAAATCCTTTAATCTGTTTACCTCTACTTTAGGATAACAGTGCCGCCATTGTAGACCATATCTTTGCCAGCAACAGTCTGGTGTGCCCTGCCATCCCTGTCTACCACCTCAGAGACCTTATCAAAAGGTACGTTCTCACACATACAGTTGTGAATTCAGTGTAGTTCAGATTGTTGGGGTCTGACTGCTCTGCTATATACTCTGTTGTAAGTAATTAATTGAGTTACATTGGACCTTTGTTACTTTGTGTCTGCAGCATGCTTCTCAATGACCCAAAGCAGAGATGCACAGCTGAAACCGCCCTCCTGAGCCCATTCTTCAGTATTCCTTTTGGTATGTGACCAAATTTGAAATGAACACATCGCTCAGTGTACCATATTTACGTATGTGTGTGTGTGTGTTTGTGTGTGTGTGTGTCAGCTCCTCACATTGAGGACCTGGTTCTGCTGCCCTCTCCTGTCCTGCGTCTGCTCAACCTCATTGATGACAGCCATCTGCACAATGAAGAAGAGTATGAAGGTACAACGCTGTATTTATTTCATATTTTTTTTTGTCTTTTAATTATGAATTTCTGTGTGTAGAGGTTAATTTAAGTAAAAATGCATGTCATTGTTTCTCCCAGACATCCTGGAGGACATGAAAGAGGAGTGCCAGAAGTACGGCTCAGTGGTTTCTCTGCTCATCCCCAAGGAGAACCCAGGGAAAGGACAGGTTAGATTTTTGTTCCTTAAACCAGGAATCTTCAAAAATGTTTCATCTAAACTGAAAAAGTTAGGAGTTTCTGGGAGTTCACAATGTAAGAAATGACATTTATTTCACAGCTATTTTAATCACAGAAAACTGTGTTACAGATGTTGACACTCCATTGGGTAGCAGCACACCAAAATTGAAAAATGATGAGGAAATGAGGAAAAGACGGCAATATACATTTTTTTTGTTGTGTTGAAGTGGAATAGAAAGAGAGAGGTGATTTTAGCAGTTTTATTCTGTGGAGTTCTGTTAATTGACTTCAGTAGTAGAACTACCCTTACAGTACTACACTGATACAGTGTTTTATCCTTTACTCACTTCCCCCATGTCCACTGTGTGCAGCTGCATCACACTCCAGCTTTGTCACTAGTCCTGGAGATTATCCACTTCTATTCCCCTCTGAATATATAATATATATATATAATGCTATATAAATCCCTATATTGACTGATAAATGTCTTAAAATTAATATTTAATGACACATTTAATTTGTTATTGACATTTTCTCAACTGCAGTTTCCTGCTGCTAATACACACAATTCAGGAAAGAGATGCAGAGACGACACATCAATGCGATCAGCGCGGTCAGTAAAACATGTAAAGTACAGCCACATTGTTAACTAGGGATGTGACGAGATCTTGGATCACGAGATCATGCCTGTGTGTGTGTGTGTGTGTTGATTCAGCAGGGATAATATTACATGAGAAAAGTTGGCCTACAGGAGAAACGTATCTGAAAGCAACACAGAATGCCTGACATCCTTGCTCCATTATATTGTTACATTTTTATATTTTGAATTGTCACGTGGCGCCTGCATTTTGTGTTTGCCTTTATGTAAATAAAAACATTTCCGTCATAAACTGGTGCAGAAAAAATCACCAGAATGCAGCAAATAAACTGTTTAATGTTCAAAATTTGGCATTAAAGATTTCTTAAAATGTTGTCTCGTCACAACCGTACTGTTAACACATCTAAACGAGCTGCAAATTGATTTTTAATATGCTTGTTAAACACAAAAAAGTAAACAAAACAAACCAATGTGGCTGCTTGAAGAGACCGCTTGAAAATAAAACACTCATTCTGGTGGACTATGATCTGAAACAAAGCCACAGCCGCATCTAGTGAACATCCAGGGTTGAGCACAAATTCAGTCTTTCACTTACTCATTCATCCACGTCCTTTGTGTGTCCACCAGGTCTTTGTAGAGTATGCCAACTCCAGCGACTCCAAAGAGGCTCAAAGGCTGCTGACAGGCCGCACCTTTGATGGGAAGTTTGTTGTGGCCACCTTCTACCCTCTCAGCGCCTATAAAAGAGGTTACTTGTACCAGACTGTGCAGTGAAGTGCTTATGCTCAATTTACACCTCTGCACTGTTCGCATTAAAAAACACAACTGCATAGAGCACCACAGGGGAGGAGTCATGTTTTCCCTATGAATATACAGCCAACACACAGTCATGCGTGGTTGCCCTGCAGTTTGAGTTCAGATGATTCTGTTATTAATCAGTTGAATAGTTGAAAGTTCTGCACATTATCCGTGTGTAAATCTGTGCAGAGTGTAAATTGAACTCGGCTGGGAGGGGGAAACGGCAACACTTTATTTCTGCTGCCTCCAGTCTGTGCACTATTAACAGTTCACATCCTTGTGTTTCAAGTTGACCTGTATCTATCTCGTGTAATAAGTCCAGGCCGGGGGTCTGTGGTGTGGGTACCACAGTTCCTGTTCTGACTTCCATTTTCACTCCCATTCGTTCATAGAAATTACCACACAGAAAGAATGTGTAATTGGGACAAGAAAAGTTGCTACAGCAAAAGCCTTTATCAAATGATAGTGTAAAGTTTGAGTCTATGCTCTACATAACATCTAAATAGTTGCATCTCTCTAGATAGATGATTAGATCTCATCAGTTGAGTCAGGGATGTGATCAGAAACATGTAGCAGGACACTGAACGAGAGTCTCTTTACTGCTCTCAGCTGAAGGTTTCCTGTGGTGAAATTAGTGTCCTATCCTGTTGTTAAATAAGTAATAATAAGTATTATATTATTGTTGCCTGTTTGTTTTTGTTACTTTGAATTTTAATGAGAGGAAATGGCATGGTACAAGGGGATATACAGGTATCCTCTGCTGGCTCCTCAGGTAATAATCAGGGACAGATGGTTTGGGGTGACGCCTCCACCAGCTGGTAGTTGTCACTCACTCACTCACTCTCTGCCATTATCTGAGCATGCTAAGGTCTCACAGTGTCCTGTAGCCTTATGCTCTGTAGCTCTTTATTTACAAAAGTCTACATACTCAGAGGATATTTTATTCACCAGTTTACTATGCTCCCGTTTATCATGACGTAGAGGGAGTTTTGTGTTTTGACTGCAACACTGAAATGGCACACGAACAAGTAAATGTTTATGAGTACATGCTGAAAATCATAGGAGGGTTCATCTGGCTTGCTTGGTTAGAAAAGTACAAACATATAAAAAAAATCTCAATTGTCCAAAAACCTTTTTCCAGTTGCAAAATGAGTCTATGAACAAAAATAGCAGCAGCAGAAATGTCTTGTAACTAAGTAACTAAAGCCAAGTACACTTAATTTTACTTCATAGTCACTGTGTAATTTGAGTTATTATTATTGAAAATGCAGATACAGTAGCCTGTGTACATTCACAGGAGTAGTTTAAAGCCACTGTGTGATGAACATTTATAGCGTCTTTCATGGCTTAGGTTGTTTTGCAGGTTGCTTTTGCAAATTTTTGCATTGACAATGCAAGGTGAATACTGACTGTGCTAACTAGACAGATTAGACAGATAATTGTCCTACAATGTTCAATGAGTCTTTCAGTTAGTTTGCATGCGAACCAGTGGATTGATGGCCAGACTGCAAGCCTAACATTGTAGCACGATATGGCCAAAGTGTCTGTTTTTGGAGTTCCCAAAATACTGCCCATGTTTCCTAATTTTGTGACAAGGTATTTTGATTTATGAATCAAAAATGTGACAGAAATGTCTCAAAATGTGCAGTCTTGTAGAGCCAAATATATTATATAATTAATGTATTATAAAGTTAAATTGGACAATCAAGACAATAAGACAGTCCAGGAAGAATTACGTTTGATAGCAGCGACAGTCAGCAAGCTTGGTATTTTTACAGTGGAATGTACTTTTTGTTGTAGAACCAGATATTCTTTTGTTTTCTGGGTTCTTATTCTCTTGGTTCAAAAATCCACTCTGTCACACTGAAACATTAGATGATTTCTACATAAGTGCCCTATGACATTCAAACTAGCTAACTAACCAAAATGCTGCTATAACAGCAGGTTGGCTACACCTGCATGTGTCGTTCATTATGTAGCCCAAGCCATTGCAGATGCCTTAGAGAATTATTCCCTTCCAGCAAATGTAGTCTGGCCAAGTAACCAAACCAGTCTTTGTTAGAGACAATGAGCAGAGATTTGTTTCATTTTTTTTGTATAGCTACTCATTGCTCATCTGGTTAAAGCCAGACTGTGTAACTTTTACTGAACAGAGACCATTTGTGACCTGTGACAGTAATGGTATTTTGCCAACACTGGTATTAGCTACAGTTACTGCTAAACTGATGGTGTTGGCTAAATGCTAAACTGCGAAATGCTAAAAAGGTTTATGGTTAAGCATAAACTACTATTTAGCACTTCAGTGTTGTTAACCATTTAGCTAAAATGCTATGTACTTGTAACAGTCGCACAATTGTAGAAGAGTCATAAAGTTAGCAAACTGTTTTACATGCATAATTAATAGTTTGCTAATACTAGCTAACATTAGCCACCATAAGCTACTGGTCGTGCACGACAGTGTACACTGCTGTAGCAGCAAAACCCCTAGTGTACTGAACTGAGCTTACTGCTCATGGATTCAACCTTACATTTGAAAGAGGAATACATTGTAATTTCTTCTCTAAAAGTTTCATAGTCTTGCTTTAAAGTCTGGTGTTTGAAGAGCTGCTAGAACTGGAACTGGTTCACTCATGTTAGAAAGAGCACAAATGTCAAACCCCACACTGTGTAAATGGGTACTGTGATTTGAGCATGTGAGACAAATTGTTATTCATATAAAATAAGAAAATATTGTAAGCTTATGGACATAAATCTTCCTCTGCCTGAGAACTATTTTTATCAAATAATGTGTTACTCTTTCCCCTGTTAGAAAATATGTTCAGAGTCAGAGGAAAGGTTGCAGTTTTGTCTGATCTGAAGTACAACAAAAAACTATTTTTCTACAAACGTTATTGGAATGCGTCTTCAATGTCAATTCTAAAGTTTCCACAGCATCACTGGCCAAAATAAAATCCATTTGAAACTTGAAGTAGACTCTAACCACTTGACTATACAGCACTTTTAAATGAGCAGTCTGTGGTACGATGGTCAGTGTTGTTAGTTACTTGTAACCAGTGGTCCTTGAATTAAAAACTAAAGAACACATTTTCTTCTTCCTCATCACAGTTTATCAAGGACCTGGTGCAGAAAATTCATCTTTGATAATCTCAAGGTATTCCTTTAAGCCATTTGAAGTTTGATTTGTCCTGGATTTTCATTTATGCTATCTTCTGTATCTATAGTTCAGCTGCTTGCCCAGTTTTGTGTAGCAGTATTGCCGTATGATTATTGACTAGGTCCCCTGCAAAAATAAACTTACCACAGGTTTACTGTACCTTATCAAATAAAGAATTTGGGCTGTACATTCTGTGGCTTTCAGGACATTGTACAGGGAACTCCCTTTGTTTGTGTTTTATGATGCATGACAAAAAAGAGTGTATGTAAGTTGTGTTCTTTACATGGTTTTGAGATCCTGTGCGAGAGTGTAGACTTGAATAATTAGAGGCGCTGTGTTAGGGAGTGTGTGTAGAATCAGCTGTGATGAGGTGAAGTCTGAAAATGAGGTGACTTGCTGGGATGCTGTGTAACTCAGCAGTTCCTACTAATTGAAGTCTCAGTCAATGTGATTAGAAATGTAACGCTTTATTTTACAGGTCCGAGATTTCGTAATAATTATCTCAGAAAGTTATTTTGAAAGAACAATATCACTTGGTACTTATTATGGGGAAAATAGCTTCATTTAAACCAAAGTAATTATTCATTCAAATACATTCATTCTTACACTCAATGCCCATTTGGGTTCAGTTGTAAGTGAGAGATCCACAAATCTCCACAAAGTTGCTAACTTACCGTTACTATCGGAATAGCAACAAATGACCGACCACATTGTTGTACAGATATCAAGTAGTGAATCCTTACCTAACAAACTGATACAAATTACGCAAATGAAATATTCCATTTTTACAGATTGAGGGTTTTTATTCTCACACATGCATACAGCATGTGGTCTTCCACACCTAAACTAATCTTAACTTGGCTCCGTCCGGCCATTATAGTCATCATTATTCCTGTTTTGAGACAGAAGTAACAGAGAAACCCAGAGGCACATGACTTTTGTGTCATGCTGCAGACTTTATTAACCGAATCCTCTATTTAAAGCGACACTGCCATTGTTAAATGCACTGCAACATGATCAGTTTATAGCCGGTTCATTCATTAGTTCATTTGTCATCTTGTGTCACAAACTGGATGATGGGATTGATTATGAATCTAGGAACAGTACAAATGTTTGGTGTGTATTAATGTTACTGTATGTTATTAGGTAATTAGTTGTGTATGGAGTTTACATAGAAAAGGGCAAAGCAGGTTTTTCTATTGATGGCTGGAAATTTAAATTATAATGTACATTTATGGATAAATAAGAGAGTCTGGTGCCACTTATTTCAACTTTGGCTCTATAAGCATTACTACTCTAAGAAATAACCTGCTGCCACAGAGCTGTGAGTATCTACAGTAGAAATGTAAATATTTAGCAGTGTTTGAATATTAGACTCAAATATTTATTGAGGCTACCGTTGTCCTGGAAGATATAGTATCAAGTTGTTTGCTGCATGCTGATCCTCTTCGGGCTAGAAGCTCATTTTGGTTGAATTAAAAAGTATATTCTTTCTAGTTGAGCTCTAGATATGCAAAAGCAGCTGTTTTTTAGGTTGGTTTACACATTATCACTTTTTAAATATTATATGCCCCCCCCCCCCCTTTAGTGTAGTTAGTTTAAAAAAACAAACACATGTATTCTCATGTGAAAAAAACCCAATATCATAGAAAACAGACCCTCCCTGTAGACTCATTGTAACTCCAGAACTTTCCTGAGAATTGGATTGTATATTTGTGTTTGTTGTGTTGGACTGCAGGGCTGATGATGAGCACACAGTGTTGGTCAGCAGGGACGTAGAGGAGACAGGTTGAGGAACAAGTTTAGATGCCTTAAGGAGCTCTGTCACGCTTGTTGGGTGATCCTGAGCCGAAAGGGATTTTCTTGCTGTTATTATATATGTCATTATCATATCATAGAGTTATAAATGTGTTAAAGCTGCCTTGCTTTGACCTGCACTGGCTTCAAGTCAAACGTGGGACAAACAGAGGCCTCTCTGAAAGCATGTAGAGTGGATGCATGAAGTGTCTCGCTCTGTTTCCTTCCTGGCCTGCTTTGTTCTCCTTCCCTATTTTTGCGTCTGTCTCTGACTCAAACTTAAAGCTGTATTAGACAAGATTTTTTACTTGTCATCTGTTTGAATTAAATTCTGGTTTTGTGTGTGGACATTAAAGGGAAATGTGAGCTCACAAGAAATAACAGCAAAATCCAAACAGGCCTCTGCAAAAGAAGCAAAATGTAGTTGTTGGGGTTTTTTGTCGTTGACACTACATTACATGGTTTCTGGGTTTTTTTTAAGTCTTAAAACTCTTTCTTCTTCTACTCTGTCTTCCATATTCTGCCACCTAATACATTGTTTTTATTTCTTCTTTTTGCTCCTCTGCGTGGATCCTTTTATGCACTGAAAGGACTTCTGGGTTATGCTTTAATTTCATGGCACCTGAATTCTAAGCCTGACTTTGATAAGCTGTCAGCACATTTGTGCATCAGTGTGCGTCGAGATAATTGGGACTGTGTGTGTGTGTGTGTGTGTGTGTGTGTGCACTCGTCTAGAGGGTGAAGTGGCTCTAAAAAGGTTTATAGTTTTTGGAGGCAGCATTTATAAGTTCATGTATAATCTACCCGTGTTTGTGTGGTACATATGTAACATTATGTGTCAGACTATTTTCGTGTGTGTGTGTGTGTGTGTGGTATATTGCTGAAGCATCCTATGCCTGTTTACTTGCAAAAGGCAATCTCAAATAATTTTATAGTGTGAGTTAGAGTCAGTATGGAACTGAAGAGTAAATATGCAAGAGTGCAGCCAGCCATTTATGCTGTGATGTCTATAGTATCCATTCCTGTTAACTAAGCACACATTAGTTAAGACAGTGGTGTCCAGAAAAGATTTAATGAGGAGTGCTAGCAAGTCCTAGCTTGTTGGTGGAAATAGTCAGTTAAAGTTGAATACTACAACAATGACATCTGCTGGTTCATTTTTTTGAGCTGTCCTCACAATTAATGTGATATATATCGACAAGTGTTTAGCCTACTTATGGTAGAAAAGAACTGTGATATTGCGTAAATAACATCGGCTTTCTTCAAATTCTGATTTAAAGCTGAAATAATTGATTGATTTTGCAGGCAAGGAAACCAAAACGACTATCCAAAATTGACATTAAAGTTCTGCAGAGCTTAGAACTGCAGAGCTGGGTGAAAATTCTCTGCGGGTGTGGCACAACGAATGACCACTTCCACATTACACACAGTTCTTTCATTGTTACTATAGAAAAATATTGGTTAGTGCAGCTTTAAATGCCTGTTCACGTTTGAACATTGTGGTATTTTCATATAAAAAGGTTCCTGTGAGCCCCCAACCTGAATAACTAAGAACAGTAATTTAAACCCAAATCTGACCTTATTAGCAATCAGGTTTGGGAATTAATGAGCTGCACAAGCTCTGAGGGCCTAGAAATACCAAATCCTGACAGAACTGTCAGACATCTGAAAACTAAAGTAATTTGATCGGCAGGGAGAACTTGCATAGATATTGTTGTCATGTCATTTTTGAGTTATTCAGACTCAAAATGATGTCCATAGTGTAATATTGTTTTAAAATATCAAAAGACAATCATAATGACAATGTTTGCGTTTGTTGGGTTTTTGGCTTCCTTTTGGTTTTATATGAACCACTTTGATTGAGAAGCAGTTGGATTTCAACACTATGTGGGATATTATGTTGGATGAAAGATTTGGCCGCATAAATTGCAATCATTTTTTTTTTTTTCATTGAAACATTGCAATTGAGAGTTTGTGTTAAATAGTAAGTAGTCCTGCTTTGTGAAATACCCCACAGGTCAAACTATACTGAAAACAAATTATTGTCACTTTTTGTTTTTTTTTTCAAACTTCTGCTTAAAGGAAGCACAATGTGAGAAGGCCACTGTATGCATGACACATACATTTATGAAACTATGAGTTAGCCCATGCTTCACAGCCTTCCAGTTGAGAGTGAATCATGTGTCATCATACTGTTGTGTTTGAGTATCTCCTAATAAAAATGATGCTTGACTTGAACTGATTTTTGTCTTGTTTTTGGGTCTCAATAAGTGACTGACTGTAATGGTTGACCAAACAAAAGAGTAGATCTTTTTTTTTTTTTTTATGCAATTAAAGATGTATATTTGGACATGTCTGTAGGGTAGACTCTATACTCAAATAGGTATCATCCTATTAAGACTTGAATGTTCTTTTCAAAGGCAGTTCTGCCTTTTATTTAAAATCACCCAACATCTACAACATCAGGTTAATTTATAAAAATGTTGAGTTGCACATTTTGAACACTGGAATGTGATCTTTGCTATACAGGACCAAAAATAAACCACATTATTCTGTGTACTATACAAAACAGTTGAAGACAAAATCGATAAATAGTGATCCATAGAGCTCTGTGGAGGTCCAAAGAAAGATGTCATACAATTCTGACTATTATAGCTATGCCATGTGGAGTTTAGATTTCATGCAGGGATTTACCCTGACCAGTTCTGTTGTGTGTGTGGTGCCTCTCTGTGGCTGCTGCTGGAACTACACTCAGCATCTGTCAGACGAATGGCAAACCCTCACAGCAGCTTAAGCATGGTTTTACCCTTGGAAATTTAAATCATAACCATTGTTTTTATTCAAAGATGCTCTTGATGTCAGATGGGAAAGGCCTCCTTGATCTGAAAAACTTGTGGTAAATGTAAGTTCAGATGTATAGTACCTTTTTCACTCCCTGTGCAACCCCATCACCCTGAAGACATTTTTGAGTATGTCCCAAAATGAGTCTATAAAACTTCCTTATATTTTTTGTCACATTTATTTATTCATTCAACTGAAGTATTATGTTTTCTGTAAATATTAGGCTCTTCCTACATGCAGGTGTCACCACAGGAATATAATGCTGGTGGAGAAAAACATTTACTTAACTTAAATATAATGTTTGCCTAAAACCGTTGAAGTTGAGTGTAAAAGGTTTCAGAATCAGGCTTCAAACCCTACCATGTTAAGTGTTAATTAACTGCACCCATATTCCCAGAAACAATGTGGAAGACATGACCCTGGTGTCCTCAATTGTAGATACTGCCCTAAGTGAATGTCTTATATGTGTTGCATTTACTCTGAAGGTGCAATTCTCTTCCCCCAGTCTGCACCTTAAGATCCTGCCCATCAAAATCTCAAACAATCTGTGAAATGGGACAACCCT